GTCGTGGACTATGAAAGATGCCATTCATTCACTTGTTTGCAATATTGCACGTATGGTGCGCTTAAATGAAATACATGTGGCGGAGAACAAGTTTTCAACTACAAACTGACGTTGAGACGGAAAAATACGAGGAAAAAGTTGTACTCAGGATGCTGAGGGTGAGCAGTTGGGCATATTTTCGAAATGGAAGTAGTTTGAAGAAGTAGCATAAGTTATAAAACACTCTAACAGGGTGTTGTAGTTTCCTTTCAAGATACTGCACTATGCCCTTCCACCAGCCGTCTATGCCCTCCTTTCTTATGTCCTTCACCTCGCCGAGGACAAAAAAAAAAACTCAAACAAAAGATCACCGATACATGTGCACCACACCCTATGGGGTGAGAATCTTTCGAGGCAAAGAACAAAGGTCGTGAGGCGTTAATCATTCCCGCCTGAGGGATGCGCTCATGCATTCGACTTCCACTCAAGATCGTAGTGGCGTATTGAAAAAGAACCAAAGAAATCCGCGTTCAGGTTCTGACGGAAAAGTCCAGCTCTTGGAACCTAGCTGTTTATAAAAGCAAGAAGCTCGCTAAGCTGAAGTAGCGAAGGCAAGGAATATGGAAATGGATGCTTGTGGACAAGTGAAAATACAAGAGTCGGCGAAGCCCAACAACGTCATCGGAGCGGTGACTGTAGAGAACAGAGGTGGTGCAATACTAAGGTGCTTTGTTGAGATCAGTCGCAGATGTGTAGAGTACTCCCATAGGCTCCTAGACAAGTTTTTCTCAATGAAAACAGCTCTTTTCTGGAAACCGTAAAGACTCCGTTATTCGGATGTTTCCATATGAGTAACCCTCCAATGCTCGGCGATCCTGCCAAGTTTCGCTGTGATTTATGGTTCACGGTTCCATCTTCTTTGAGCTCGATTCCTTGTGGTGGCCAACTGCTTTGAGATAGCTAATAAAAGTGCTTTGTGACGTGTGCCTGCATTAGAGCATGGAAGTCTAATGAGTTCACTCTTACCATTAGATACATTTTGGAGTGGTCCCTCTTTCGGCAAAATGCGTGCCCTGGGGGTCTCGAATTTCCGTAGGGTTGTGGAGGCCTTTGATTTGTTATTTATAAATGGTTTTGTCAATTTCAGGCTCGAGCCGAGAAGTAAGCTAATAAGTTTTAATACCATCCTCGTGAAAGGCGCAGTCTAGAAGTACGAAGGATTAGGAGTAGAGGTCGCTGTTGCTGGCATTATCTACATCATTCTTCAGAAGATTATCTTCAGATAGCAGCTAACCACTAACATTGGGATCAGGGATATCTTTTTGTATTATTACTTGTTGGCTGATAATTTATCTAATGAATCCACTCTTTATGGTCTGATTTGATCCTGAATACTATTCATAGCAACTTCTAATATGCAAACATTTCATTTTTGATGATGATTTTTACAACGATCATCACTTCTAACTGCGGAAACGGTACTCTCCTGCATGTGTTACCGCGAATCCTCTGCAGGATTCATAGGCTTAGGCCCTAGCAGCCAGCCAGACTGACTTTGCATGTCCCACCCAATTCGCAAATCCCGCCCATTATGAGCAGTAATGTGAACGGTTTTCTTCATGTTGCTTATTGTTATTGATGGTTATTTGCATACGCGCTGTATCAAGCAGTTGGGTAAGATCCCAATACCTATTCACGGGATGCCTTGCCATTTGAGCCTGAATTTTGTTGAGTTGAGCTCAGTTGATGGTTCTAACCCGTAAGAAAAGAAACCGATATTGTTTGTCCAATCAATAGTGATCATGATTCACGATATTTATCTAATCAATACTCTTCAAGTAATAATGATACATATCAGCATTATTACAATGTTCTGTACACAAATAGCACCTCTGTTAAAACACATTACAAGGCATTGAGATTGAGCATTTGCGCAGTGTATCCATCATCAAGCAATAATGTACGGCCCACATATAAAAGGGGACCTTCTTCGAGTTACGATGATATCGACTACTGCGCATTTAGATATCGATCATTTCGTCATCATAATCGATACGCAATTTTTTCATTGAAAGTCGTGGCGTCGAAGTATGTACGAAGCGTAAGGCACTGGGATCATCGATATTGATTATAGTTTGCTCAAAATGAATACGCAATGCTCATATTTTTTTCGGCTATTTCTTCTTCTAATATACGAATTCTCCTTTCATGTTGTCTCAAGACGGCCTTCATTTTCGCCAGATCTGACAACAATTCCTCCATGTTCGTTGGTCCCTGAAAAGTCGTATCTGGTTGATTGACATCCGCTTCAGTAGAGAAAAAGGAAAGAATGTAGGCGCTTGAGCGCAATGGCTACAGGCGCTGCCTCAGGTTTGCACACGAACTGTGGTTCGATTCCTCGATCCAGGCCAACCGGGGTCCTCACCCCTTCGATGTCCGTAATTTGGTAGCAGATATGTCTGGAAGGATAAAAGCACTAACATGATTGTCGGTAAATCCCGCAACCTACTGTACCCCCTGAATCCACCGTAACTCGCAGTGATTGTGAGGTTTACACTTGACTGGATAATTATGGACGCAATCAAGCCAGTTTTGGTAACCAAGCATTTTAGTGTTCGAAGGGATGATCCTTGACGAGGCATCAATCAGCCTAATAGGTTCATAGTTAATACTGTTTGGACAGAAAGGACGATTTTTAAGGACGGTTGAGACGAGGCCGTTCTGTGAAAAAATCTCCATCTTCTCCACGCGATTATGCACTATTAGTAATACTAATGCTACCACCATTATACCTATATCTACAATAACTATATATTAATAACTATATATTACTTTCAGGCCACTATAACACTTCCCATTCATACGGGATTATTTAGCCACTGGACAGATTTTCTGGAACACACCTTCAACTGAATCTTTGTTTTTTTACGATCACTCAAAGGAAGCGTTAACAAATGCACAAAGGACATAAGCTCAGCAATAGAACCTAATAAACATAGGAAAAAACGTGGAGTGGCTGGTTCCCTACCTCCATACTGCTGACGCTCATTCGTGGAGAAGGGCTGGGTTGAATCGGAGCTGGCGGTGGAATGTAGTCGTCAGGGTCGGCAGTGCGAGCCTAAATTTCAATTTAGGTTTCCTAGAACTCAAGAGAATGCTTGATGTGTTTGCATTTTCTACCTGATCTCTTTTGATCCTCTCCAGTTCAGCGGCGGCTCGTCTTTGCCCCGCCGTCTGTGCACCACCTCCCATATCTCTGTCAGCACGAGATCGAAGATTCACCTGAGGGTTTTAAGAGTTCAGTCTGTCTTATGAAGACTCCAAAGTTATTCACATGGTTCACCTGCTGCTTTGGTGTCTTCTGAGATCTTTCTGGACTTCGTGGTCGCTCTTGGTACTGATGTTGTGAGGGCGGCGATGGACGCCGTTGCATCTGGAATTTCAGCACTGCAGCGCAGCGGTGACGTTACTCTGACGCGCCACATACACACCCACAGGTGTCTTCTCTACGGTCATGAATGGGTCGTCACAACTGACCTGGCTGGTGACCACGATTCCCATGTCGTCGTCGACCACCGGCGGTCGATGTTGTTGTTGAATTCGAGGCGATGGTGGAGCAGATCTTCACAGCAAACTTTAAGCACTACACCTATCCAGAAAAGCCTTCTAAGAAAGCCGATAAGCGTTTTGTTGTACTCACACTTGAGGTGATGTCTGATCCGAATAGGACGACCTTTGTGAGGCAGTTTCAGCGCTAAATTTACAAAATTAATGCGTACAAAAAGCCTTTGAAAAGAAACACTTGCGCAGTGGGGGCGAGTTGGTTGAGAATGTTGGCTTTCTTGGCCACCTGAAAATTCAATAAAAGTTTAACTGCATAGAAGCTGACGAAAGGTCCCTTACTTGGATTTTGGGCTTAGCCTGAGCTGCCGCCGGGTTTACGGCCATGAGATTGGGTACTGCGTTCTTACCTAAACGCGATGTTAATAGTAGTGCTAGGACAGGGGACTACTGCACGACACTCTCAGCAACATTCAGGTAGAATCGAGGCAAAGTTGACCTATCTAATGACACAAAGTAGGATAAGGCCTCACCATCCATGAATTCTTCGGCAGTAAGCGCTGGAATTGTTGATCTTGTGTCCGGATACAGATCGTGCTAAAATCAGGACAGTTTTAGATCTCATCTATATCATCATTTTATAACGTAACTACATATTAAGCTCGGATCTCTCGAATTCTCTTGTATTTTCACTGGAACTTGCAGTGTTTTGACCTTTTAGGTTCATTTACACTAAACTTCTGAACAAACCTGGAAGAGATCGGATTTCCTCGGAACGAAGAATTGCAGTACGTCGACAACGCCTTTTGTGGTCAGTTTGTAGATTCTGAAGGACTTTCGTTGTTAATTCTATTAGCCGTGAATGCTCAGATGGATGGAC